CCACATCATCACCTTCATTGTCATCATCCTCTCCTCTACCTCTTTTCTTCTTCTTCCCTGCATACTCCTTCAACTCGATCGTGGCGATTCTCTGTGCTTCCGCAACTCGCTCTTGCAACAATAATACCTCTCCCTTGTCTCCTAGTGGAAACTGTTCCATCTTTTTGTCAATCACCTGTTCAATCCGTTGGAAGAGTTCAACATCGTATTGAGTCACCAAAGTAATGGACTTTCCTGATCGTCCGGCACGAGCAGTACGTCCGACCCGATGAATGTAATCTTTGGAACTTTGAGGGATGTCAAAGTTGATTACGGCGTCTACTAAAGGAATGTCCAGGCCTCTGTAAACAAAGGGAATGATGGAAATGCAAGGCACGATACGTCAGTCGATTGTGGACAGAGTCCTGTTTTTTTCCTGCCCTGAAAATACTAACATCCAAATCTTATGCTCGCAGCATGGTAGATCATTCACGACTTTTTCAAGCCCTTCCTACGATCCTCTCCGTCTTCACAGTCACAAACTTACCTGCTAGCAATATCAGTAGCTATCAACAAATTCCTATTTCCAGCTTTGAACTTATTCAATGCGCCCAACCTCTTAGTCTGACTCATCTGTCCATGTAGTGGTATGGCCGGGAAGCCTAGATTTCGTAATAATAATGCTAATCGTTGTGTCTCTGAACATGTTCGTGTAAAAATTATGATAGAGTTTCCGGATAATTCGTTACAGAGATAGACGAGGTAGCAGTCTTTATGTTTAAGTGGGAAGAAGAGATAATATTGCAAAAGAGTTGAAACTGTAGAATATCTTTTCATGCGTTGTGGGTATGCAAGGGGAGAATTAAAAAAAGAAACAAAGCAATATGAGAATGGAAACATGAGGATAAGAATTTACTTTCGTTTCTATGAAATTTCTCGCTCTCTTGTGTACTTACTTTGATGAAACTTCAATCTTGACCGGGTTAGTCAGGGAGGCACGTTGTAATTTGGCAACTTTTGTAGTCATAGTCGCAGAAAAAAGATAGGTTCTTCGTTCTTTGGGAATGGATTTGAGAAGTTTATCGATTACTGGTCCAAAGTCCATATCCAGGAGTTTGTCGGCCTCATCGAGAACCTGTGGTATAGCAAAAAGTGGTTATTAGAATTGAATAGGACAAGTGTGTAAGAGATAGTCTTTCCTTTAACATAGGATATGTCCTCCCCCCCACACACACACACGTCTACACACACCCGCACACCCGCACACCCGCACACACCCGCACACCCGCACACCTCACACACCCACTCTCTCTAATTTCCTAACTAATACACCCGACCCATCTAATCTCTGCGCGTCCCCCCTTTTTTTCCTGCATACCAAATATTTCAGATTCCTCAGACTGAACCCTTTTGTGTTTTCCAAATGGTCTTGTAACCGACCGGGCGTAGCAATAACAATATGTGGCTTTCTGCTTAGAGCTATCGATTGCGACATCATGTCCATTCCGCCAACGACCACCGCACATCGGACGCCGATCGTTGAACCAAGAGAATCAAAGGTTTCGCTTATTTGAAATGCCAGTTCCCTAAAGACGAGAAAAATATAAGGGTAAATCATTAAATGTAGTAAAAACGCTTGTAATCATGCGTCATCTTGATTATTCTCTCACATACGCCCATTTACCGTTTAGTAAATTCTTTTAAAGTATCAGTGAATTCAATCTTTACCTGGTAGGTGCCAATACGCAAGCAAATAGTCCTTGTGGTGCATCCCATAATGCTTGTAGTATCGGTAATGCAAACGCAGCAGTTTTCCCTGACCCCGTCTGCGCTAAACCTATTATGTCTCTACCTAAATATTGCGCAAGTCTTGTTAGATAAGGCAACACAAATCATATCAGAGTGATGAATACACAAAGCATGGGGCATTCTTTTGCTTTTGCTAACCTTGCAATGCCCAAGGAATAGCCTCGGCTTGAATTTCAGTTGGCTGCTTATAGTTCACTTGCTCACAAGCTTCACATAGCGGATCTATTATTCCCTGTTTCGATGTCGCAGGATTCGAACGAGAAATGAGATGAGTTTATGTAAAAAAAGAATGCGTGAATATAAAATTAATGATAGCGTCAAATTATTTTCAAGTTGATTTGAAAAAAGCAATTTATTACTTTTAGGGGTTTGATCAATAGTACATTTTATTGTTCGCGCGCAAACTATTAAAGTTAGTGTTCATATTAATATGATTTCTCATTTCATCCGACGCTCGCATCTATCATTTTCACTCTGTCTATAGTCTGTTCACATTCAATACATACCAATGACTTGAATGATACTAGTTCTTTTGTGTTATCGGCATTCTCGACATCAGTTTGGGACATTGTGAAATGAAGGGAAAAATTTTTTTGGTTGATCTGGTTTCCAAGTCAACTTTTATGTCGATCTCTACTATTTTGGATATTATCATGTGATATTCAGATTATTATGGAATGTCTGAATTTAAATATCATGCGTCATATTAATATGGACTTTCTTTCGCCCACGCGCAAATGCTAACGAACATGTTTAAGAGATGCAAACATTTTTATTAACAAACGCAAATTAAGCTCATCAAGATCAAGTCTAAAAAACACACGCGCATAAATTAGTAACATTAAGGGTTAAATGGACTTCTGCTTGTTTGGCTAAGTATAATAACGTCGTCGTCATGTAAACGATGGTACGCTCCAACATAATAGCACTTCCCGTTCGACATGGATTTTCTCTTTATATTCGCTCTTTTACTCGCGAAGTGGGCTCTTACTCACCTGCGACCAATTTTGATCCAAACTTAGTTTGTATTTGTTTTAGACGGTTTAACATCTGACAACTAACTATGTTTGCTGACACATTTCTCATTGATATAATCTTAATAGTACTAATGCATACGGAAATTGTTTTATTACGATTGCTATCAAGTGTTAAATTTTAACAGTTTATTTGTTTATTTATTACAATTCTGCCATCAGTTATAATCAGTCACACTTGATAAAAGGGTCCTAATTAAGCCATCAATTAATTATATAAATTATGACACAAAATAGTATGGAACGCTCAAGATAAACAAAAGTGTTCACCGTCATTGATCACTGTCATGGCAAGAATCTACCGATTGTAAAGCTATCAAAAAGCAACTGATAAAATAAACAGAAGAATTAATTATTTAGTTTAGACTATACAGATTGGTACACCAAACAGATGACTTTAATGTATGCTATCAAACGACTAACATTCAGCTAGTGTCAGCAGACCAATAAATGTCAGACAGGTACAGTTGTCAGTCACACTGGCTAACAAGCTATTAAATAACGTGCAGTCAATGTTGCCATCATCCAGTAACGGTCAACATTTAACTCTAATTCCTTATTATTATATTATCGACAAGAGTATTGTCCAACAATGCATTGGTCAGCACTAAAATCCAGGCTGTGAATAATGTACAAACTGACTGGAACTGGTCGAATGTGTCGCAAGAGTGGGAATAACATAATTATGTTATTCCCACTTAGTATAGGTTATGACCGCTCCAAAATGACGTGCGTTTTGCTTTTTTCGACACACTCGAGTGACGTGCGTTTTTGCTTTTTTCGACACACTCGAGTGACGTGCGTTTTTGCTTTTTTCGACACACTCGAGTGACGTGTGTTTTGCTTTTTTCGACACACTCGAATGACGTGCGTTTTTCCTTTTCACGTCACTTATAGGTTGCATTTGTATCGTCACTTGAGAACCGCTGAGATATACGCCAGTATGATGTGCGTTTTGCATTTTAGACTACACTCAAGTGACGTGCATTTTGCTTTTTACGACACATACCAAGGTGGCACATTTTGTATATCTGGTCACATGTGATATAATGTATGCCGGTTTAATAGTCGTGGTCGATTTCCGTCGCTGGGACACAAACAAAAAAAGTAAAAGTACACCGTGCGATTTATATATTATTAGTAGCAACGGAATTTTTAACTGTAGGGTTGACAATAGATATAATATCTTTTAATTCATTTTTGAGATCGGAATCAGACTCAGAATCGTAATCTTGATCTAGCTTTTCTATATAAGTTTTCCAGTCCTTTCCAATCTCCTGTATTAAGAGTTTGTTGATAGCTTTAGTAGCATGAGTAGCATGAATATTACAATCTGCTTCCTCAATCTTTTGTGTTATAATTTTATCAATAGTTTGAGTTAGATTGCTCTTGCGATCTTGCATTGTTGTCATTTTATATACCGCAGAGATTATTTAATAAAAAAAATTAATCACATATCCGATCATGTTATCAGGTTATGTTTGATGATCCGATCGCATTTTACACATCATTGAGAAGGCAAATAGTGAGATTATATGCTATGTCTCGAAGAGACGCCCCTAAAGGGCCCGATTAATGCTACCAAATATGACGATAATGCTATCATGTACAGTGCCCTCCAATAAATGAGTGAGTAACACAAAATTTTGCAAATTATACATCAAGTTCGCGCGCATGTAACGAAAAACTTTACTAATGCAACTGCACTTTATGCACTAATTAAACTTGTTCACAATAACATTTTACATGTATCTTTGTTATTTGCATCACTGTCGCTTTGGTATATCTCTTTATTATAACAATTAAATCCAGCGTAAAGATTTTGCCGACTTTGTCTTCCAAATTTATTTGTTTAATACTCGATATTCTCTATGCTGACATCAAATATCCTACTAACAAAATGTGTTTAAATGATTTAAAATATGTATGTTCAAATTTTCATAAAATTGCGATGAGAAATGATTGAGTAATAAATTTGAATATGAACTTTATTAAATATGTGTAATATGAACATTAGTACTTAGTAATATATACTAACAGTAAGCGTTATTCATTACTACCTTTGTATAATTTCTCGTCCAAAGGACTCTTTCATCTCATTTTAAGAAATCACTACCATATGTCATCATAATTACTTTCGACAAAACTCAATCAGAACCTTGAGTACGACTGTTTCTTTTTTCTCTTGGAGTAAAATGCGTTTTTCGGATAAACTTAATCTTGAAATGTTTTGCTTCTGATAAAGCACCTGAATGAAATATCTTATTATATGGGTGATTAAAGTTTTTTAGATCAGGTATTAACTTCGCTTTCTTAACAATGTTTTGCTAAAGTATAGAAAAAGTAAAAAGGATAAATAAGGATTATTATAATCAATAACAGAATGCTTGTATCTTACTTTGAAAAAGTATAAGGTCTCCAGTGCGCCACGAAGACATTTGATATTTGTAAGTTGTGCCGGAAAATTGAAAGTTGATCCTTCCAGTCCGAAATATAGTCCATCCTCAAGAAGATCTACGCCTATAATCTGACCATTCAGGCCTTATGTAATGATCAAAACGTTAACTATATATTATTTGTTGACACGAATCAATAGACCTTACCAGAAAACTGAATTCCTAATATTTTTGAATCCTGAACTTCTTCATCCGATAAATCTTCTTTTAAAAAATTATCAAGAACACCTTTCAATGTTCGTAAACATTTTGAACGGTCATGCACGGCTTTTGCAGGAGTAGGAGCTTTCGCACATTCGGAATGACTGAGTTCGAGCTTCTTCACTTTATGAACAATTCTTAAATCAATTTTTCGACGACGATCAGACGTGGCATTAGACAATGTTTCCCCCCTATATACAAGTATGAAATTAAATGTCATTGCTCATACAAATATTGATAATAGTGATGATGGTTGGTCTTACCAGCGAAGTTTCAGATAATCCAAGACATCACTAAATATATTATTCATCACTGGCGCAGTCATAGTCATTGCGTATTCAATTCACTAAGCTCCTGATACTTTCCTGTTTTATCTACAAATATGAACGGATTTTTTAAAAATTCATCAATCCTAACAATAAATTTAACAATATCAGTACATAATCTCAAAATTTTTTTTATAACTTACACGTAGAAAAATATTTTAGTTGTAACTTACACGCAGAAATATATTGTAGCTATTTGCTTTACTATTTGAGGATGATTGCTAGTTCTAATCTTATATAAATAGTCACGAGCTTCATTATATTGGTACCTATCGCACATCTGAGAATACATGTAAATACATAATAAGACAACATGTGTATATGCGCAGAAGTCAATAAGTAGCTACTTTCCTCTTCGACAGTATCAATAACATTTGTTATCTCAACTTCAAAAATGTTTGGTTCCATATTAACAATTCCGTAGACCTTTCTTTTAATATCTATCCATTCCTGCCCAAACCACGTATACATTCCATCTTTGAACTCAGAAGACAAATCAATAATCGAAGAAAGTCCTAATCTGTATTTACTGTGTTAGAAATTCTTCTTATTAATAATCCATTTCAAGAAAATAAGAGAACATTACCGGATAACACTTTTCATAAATTGTGTTTGTTTTTTTTTGTCTTTTTCCGAAAATAATTTTACTACCTCAGCGGTCTTAGTGTTAAAAACTTCAACAATCAGACGACTATCTCTTAATCTCCATTCAGACTCTGTCTTATTTTGATTTAAATAATCGTCAAATGAAATTGTGTTTACAGTGACTTACAAAACCAGCTCAATGTTTGAAAGAATTGAATGTGCAGGTTTATAACTCTACAAATATTCAACCAATTTACATGAAATTTAAACTGAATATAGTCTTGCATTCTGGCTTCTAATTCACTTTTGTTTT